GTTGGAAAAGATTAAACACGTCGTATTGTCGCTGTATTGTTGTTGAATAAACGCTAACTTTCATATTTTCGGGAGCATATAAGCTAAAGGGGGACGTTCTCTCCCCGTTCGCTTAAAGTGTGCGGAGAGAAAGATTAAACGCGTCGTATATTTGTTGAATAAACGCTACCTTTCATATAACTTTTGGGAATATATAAGCTAAAGGGGGAAGGTCTGCCCACCGTTCACTGAAAGTGTGCGGAGAGGAAGATTAAACACATCATATGTTTGTTGGTAATATATATGAATATTTCAGTATCTGTAAACCGTGCGTAAAGAAACATGCCATAATACGTTACATTTACAACTGCGAAAATCCTTCGTAAATATTAGATTTATTTTTCAGTAGCCTTTAATCGATCTTAAAGTCTGCTTAAATATTTCCCTATCTTTAAAGTCTCAATACGGATGTCGTAAATTTTGCTTGAATATCTGTTTTCGTGCTGTGTGTACCGTATGGTTGTTGTGTTTCTATTTCTCTATATGTCAATTAGGTCCAGGTTTGCACATAATGCATTAATAGCTGTACAACATTTGGGGTGGTAATTTGTCGTCTGCTGTCCAGTTCTATCAATATTAGGATTCAGAACAGTATTAAAGTCTCCTACTACAATAGTATGTAATCCTGTAAATGTAGTCTGTATAGAGGACTCTAGGTCGACAAAGATCGAGGGATCATCTGTGTTAGAAGCATAAATATTTGCCAAGCAAAAGCGAAATGAGTTTAAAGTTATGTCCAATACCATCCATCTACCAATGTCATCACTCAGAGTATTATGAATGGTATAGGACAAGTGTTTCTTGAAGAGTATTGTTAAACCTCTACTATTGCTTAGACCATGTTTAAATATAATTGAGCTGTCCCAGTCCATCTGCTATTTTTCATCTTTTGGCGTTGAATGCGTTTCTTGTAGACAATAGATATCACAAGACTCAAAGTAAGTCATGTGAAGGGTTGTTTACTATGGCGGAATGTGCAGCTGCTATACATTCCATGAATAATTGTAGCCCCGGCCTAGATGGCCTAACAACTGATTTTTATAAGGTATTTTGGAGTAGGATAAAATGTATGGTTTTGAGCTCTCTGAATGAGGGTTTTACAAAAAATCAACTTTCTTCAACCCAACGTAAAGGACTTATAACTTTGATATATAAAGGAAGTGAACATCTAGATCTTGATAGAAATCAGCTGTCTAATTGGAGACCAGTTTCTATAACCAATACCGATTATAAAATAGGGGCAAAGATCCTAGCAAATAGACTACAGAATGTTATTTCTTATATTGTTGGGGACGAACAGACAGGCTATATTAAGGGTAGATCTATTTTAAACAATGTTCGTGCAATTGATGATGTCATTTGTTTTACAATAGACCGTAATGTACCCGGAGCTATTTTGAACTTAGACTATAGTAAAGCATT